CCACACTTTCGCTCGGTGGCGACACGTTTTTAGGGGTTTATTTTGGCATTTTTTATGTTTCAAAACTACAAATACATTATCGAATTCGCGGAATAATGCGCTAATTACTAATAGTGAAATTGTTGGAGAGTTAATGATTATTGATGAAAAAATTTAGAAAGAAGTGAAGTGACGCATTCATAACGGCGGTCGTCAAAGGGTTAATGCGCAGTGACTGAGAAGCGCTGCACTGTATCCACCGCAATTGTCACAAAATTGTTATTAGACTATATACGTGGGTGAAACCACAGAATTTTACATCGTTTAGCCCCTGTAAGTCATAGCATTGGCTAAAAATGAGCACGCATTCAGTGCCACGACGAGTTTGGTTGCAATTTATGTGCGTGGCCATTCCAGAAGATCGTCGCCGACCGCCCTATCTTTTATCTAATTTTTTTTTCTAAAATTCCAATCCCATTTTCTATAATATCGGGCGTAGCCGTAAAAAAGTACACTTGACCAAGCTAGAATTTAATTGGAGCTGTTGAAAATCTTCTTCAGATTCTGGAGGAACTGAGGAATGCGCCAGAAGACACTGTTGAATCGCGTGATCTTCTATCGTTACTGATGGAAGTTGTTCGATGTATTCGTACAATTGTCAATACTTACGTAAGTGATGAGGAAAACTTTATTACTCTTCGTTTTACTTTTGAGCTTCTGTTGTATTTTGCTTTCCATTATTATGTGAACCTACCGTCTTCAAATTTAGCCCGGACTAGAGCTAGTCTTGCAACGCGACTCACGCGCCATTGGTCGCCTTATTGAAGGCCTTTGTGCCATCAATAAGCGAAGACCTAGAGAGGGAGAAGATACCGAAGCGGCTCGTGCGTTGAGAGCAGAGACTGTGAAAATACTCGCATCACTCGGTATGGTTAACCAGGAAACCACGAAGAATATTCAAATGGAAATGACCGGGTGAGAGGAGAATTTCGTCCGGTATCCTGAACTGCACTCATAACGAGGATGTTTAATTTCACTAATTCTGCTTCTTTCAGTGCTCAGAAAATGATCAAGGAACTAACTCTTCTGTCGGCAAGAAATAAACAGCCACGATTCAAACCGATTTTGGACTGCCTTCGCTTCTGCAAAGAATGCGATGTAGATCACGTGGTTCGTGTTGTCTTGGAGCAGTTCTTGTGCTTATCTCCTAAGATGGATTTGTTCCAGAAAGTGATAGATTCTTTTAGTATCGGATTCTCATCATCATCAATCTGTTGATCCACAGTAGCGATCGTGAGTTAGGTGAAGATCAAGCATGGCAAGCACGAATGGCTCTTCGTTCAGAGCTGATGAGAGATGGCTTTGGGAAATATGTCCCGGTGAGTCTCTCACATAGCCCCATTCTTTCACTGAGACTAACCTGAGTAATAATCTTGCAGCACATAGTCTTACTGTCGAAGAGTGACGAAAGAATAGGAGATGTATACGGAGCATTCACTTCCATTCAAGATGATGATTTTAACGAACTCGTAGCACGGTTTGAAACTCTGTAAGTGGCTTTGGAAAGCATCGTTCATATCTTGATTATTTTACCCATCGTTACAGCCGTGGAGAATATGAAACGTTGGGAGGTTGCTTTGAACTTCTTGCTTCAACATCGGCAAACACAGCAGTTGAACCTATTCTGCTCAGTATTATGCAGCATTTTTCTGTACTGTGGAGGCTGTGTCACGAAATTGTGTTTACATAAGAATGGTGTTGATCCCGACTTCGATTCGCAGTTCCACTTCGAAACACCTGTTTCCGAGATCATTGGTCAGTTTCAAAGTTTATATCTTACAAGTTAGTGCGCCAGATTCCGCGCGCGTCACTTGACTATTGAGAAGCACACTCCTCATGAGGGAACATTAGCTCGAGTTCACCAAGGACACAAAGATCTGTTTTGAACGTCCCGCCCACTTGTCCCCGCTCCGTCCACCAGCGTACATGCTCTTGGTCAAGATCTGTCTACTTTTATACATGCATGGGGCAGCTCCCATCCGTTTGGGTAATGTCTCTGCTACTTCCTTAGGTAGCGAAAGAACTGATGGCTACAAACAGTAAGGCAAACGCCAAAATCCCGTTTTGTACATAGCACGGATACTATGCTGGATCAACCAATCAACCCTTTGATACGTAAATTTCGGATAGACTTGTGTTGACTTATTGAAAAAATACATGTATATTCTAGAGCAGTTACAAGATGCAGAGTTTTCGCGCAAGTTGGAGCAAGCAGTGCAGGCGAAACAGGAGGCTGTCGCCAAGCAAATGCAGTATTGGCAGAAGCTAGATGAGTTTCGGAAAGAGGCGCAGTTACTACGGAAACATGTTTGTTTTAAGTTAATTAGAAGCAATATTCACTCCTGGGCATACTCGTAGTGAATGAGTAGTTATTTTAGATAGAGAACCCTACCCAGCCTATTCCTCCGCCAACTGTCTGCAACCTTCAACAGCCAGCTGAACACAGCGTCCCGTCAACCAGTGAGTCGGTTTCGTGCTTTTGCTAGCTTGATGAAATCTTTGCCGGGTTTGGTTCCGTGTGAATTTCTATAACTTGAATTCATGAATTACTGTTGCGAACAATTTTGGTAGTTGTTGCGTATTAGCTACATGAGAAGAGAGCGTTTGCATATTTTGCTGCTGCTGGATTTTTGATTACAGCTCTGCTTGTTACATCCTTCATTTAGTTTCACTTTTCTCTCCTGGTAGTGTAGATAAACTTCAGGCTCAGGAACTAGCCGACTGCCTCCTGTAACTGGAGGCCCTCCCGCTCCACCTCCTCCTCCACCACCACCTGGAGCAGCTCGAGTCACGGGAGGTCCCCCACCACCACCTCCGCCTCCTCCAGGATGTGAGTTTTACTTTGAGTTATTTTTATAACTATTTCGGCATTATAATGCCAGGCGATGGATTGAATGTAGATCGTTTTCGAAACGAAATTCCAAACTCCTCTGAGAAAATGCGTTGCATGACACAGTCGTGGTGTCAGGTGTCCTATTGGTTAAAATTTTATGGGTTCAAACGGCATGAAATAATAAAGCGGACACACTTGAATGCGATAGCCAGGACTCAGAATGGCTTGTGGCATCTGCAAGAGCGTGGGATAAAGTAAAAGGACGAAGTATGAATGTGCGTAAACGTACTGATTCACAGGAGCTTGTCATATCGAAAGCTTGGTACCCAAAGTACGAACAATGTCGTAGAGACGACGTAAATACTGTTTTTTCCAGTAGCTGGACCTCCCCCTCCACCACCACCAATTTCTTCGTGGTGGAGCTGGTCCACCTCCACCCCCACCGCCTGGTTTTAAGGGCCCTCGATGTCAAATAATATTGGACCAACGATTCCCGACTTCCTCTCTGCCAAAAAGAAACGAGCCATTGATGTACCTATGCGGAAATTTCCCTGGGCAAGTAGTACGGTAAGATTATTCTATTTCTATTCTCTGTCTTGCAGTGTTTATTTGAATATATTCAACAACTGTTTTATGTTCAAGATTAATCCTCGCAATTTACATCCGCGACTTGCTTTGGGCTTCAACTTGCGGAGAAACCTGTAGCGATGATTGTGGATCGCTTAGGGGTTAATGTTATTTGTTTATTGGGGTCGCAGTATTATTATCAACAAAAAAAGCTCGGATCTTTTCCAAGGTCAATAGAGGTATGTGACTTGTTAGAAGTCGTCTTGATCGCAAGGCAGCTTATTATATACAAACGATTTAGGAGAAATGGTCGTTCTTCAGCCAGGACAATCCCTTGAAACTTTTGCAGTGAAGTCTGCGAAAAAGCTTAGTGCTCAAATTGTGAAGCGGACGAGAAAGATTTCAAGCACTCGGTTGTGAAAAGTGGTGCTTCATTCATCTGTTTCATCATACCCTATTTGTTCATTAAACTTTTACTTTTCAGCTATCTGCAAGGCCTCAGGGAAGCTGCTCTTATTAAGCAGTGGCGCAGGTTTTTTTTTTTTTTTTTTTTTTATTTTTTTTTTTTTTTTTTTTTTTCTTTTTTATCTGAGGGTCAGTGGTTTTTCTTATATTTCATTCTATTGTCAATGGCTTACAGTCTCTATAATTATTAGGTTGTCCCATAATTAGTGAATCACTTTACATTTATTGCTATAAAAAATCCAAGAAAAATGGTGAAGGTCGAAACATGTTTTGCGAAGTAGCACCCACATTATCCTACCTGAGCATTTGGTCAGCCCATTTACACGCTGCCTTACGTGGCTATTAAAATCAATTTTTCTAGAACTTATTTTTGAGCTTCCTTCTTATCAATTTGATAGTCTTTCAAAACCAAACGAATATAGGGAAAACTAGCAGAAAGCCAGGGGATGACTTTAATTCACGGTGACCTACGGTGTTCATCTTTTGGGCGGGCTTTTTTGTTTGGTGATGACCCACATCCAGTTACCCTTACTTGCAATTTCCTGCCCAGCGCCACTGAAAATGAGGGACAAGTATCGTATTGACAAAATCAGACCGTTAATGATGATGGAGTTCAGCATCCCATAGAAGTTGTAAAAAGATTTCAAGATATAGAGTTTGAGCTCGTGCTTGGGCCCGAATTAGAATCTAACACATCTACATGTTACGTCTTCCGGTTTCCACAATTCTTAAGTACATTTAGCATTTTCACCAGGTTGTAGAATGGTGGTGTATATCAAGAGCGGCGGCCTAGGCACGGAGATTCGGGAGTTCTTACAAACAATAAGGCCGAACTCCTAAGTCGATTATATTAGTGAAGCACGAGGAGAGACTCGCGTGTGAAGGACCGATTCCGTCTTCGTCGTTCAGGAGCTTCTGCATTTTCAAAGGAAGACGGTCGATAAATTCTACAGGTAGCTATATGTCAGTGTGAGATGGCCAAAGTGTGTTTGATTGGTATGAGCAAGGACTTCGAATAAAAAGAAAGAATTGATTCAAATTGCCAATGTGATTCAGCTAATTATGCGCACTAGTAAGAATGCTTCTTGACGTTTGTGTTGAAGGTCTCAAGAACAATTTTTTGCACCTGTTGTAACATTGTTTCACTATTTGTGAAAGGATGACTGCAGCAAACCACTGCTACTGCTGGTCTAGAGTTCTGCGCCTACAGTAGTCCCATTTTTGCAGGGGTAGAATGTTCCGAATTGGGTGTAAAAACGAGGGCAAAATGGTTCATGCACCCTGGAGAATGTGTCCACTGCAAAATATGGGATCACTGAAGTGGCATGAAGAGTTGCACAATAAGCACCATACCATATAGAATGGCTTTCGAGACAACCGATCTACAACTGTGTGGTTTTATCCTCCTTAGAAGTCTGGTACTAATTTACTGAGTCTGGAAGTGATGGACCGACCCGGAGGGATGGAAGGCTTGGTTGGCCCGGGCGACTCACGACCCAGGATTTGATCCCCGGACCGCGCGCGTGGTAAGCAGCGCCACTTCCTACTACACCACTTCCGCCCCACTTCGAAATACTCAAAAAATATTCCAATTTCCGGGAACTTAAAAATGAGCTACAGTAGTAGTTAGTATCACATATGTTTAAATTTAAAAAATCTATCTTATGATAGAAGTGATGGAGAACGCCAAGAACGCATATTATTGTTGTATGCCAGATTACCTTTTTAAAAATAACTGGAGCCCATATTTTTTTTTGCAGCATCTTTGTATACGATATCTTGCGTTCACCACCCTTGACAAATTTCAAAGGATAGGCGGATTTTGTTGCAAAGCGTACCATTGTTCCAATAATCGAGTGTGTTGTAGGTGGATGAAGATGTGCTCTCTTCCAACACACTTCAACAACTTCGAACCGCGCTTCCTCCTATGGATGTGATCAAAAAGTTGTCTGAAGTGGATTCATCACTTCTGGACGAAATGCCTGAAGGAGAGCAGGTATCTACTTCTGTTCTTGTGTGATAATTCTGCAAAAATATAGGTAGACTTCCATTTCGCAAGAATGCTTTTTTAGGAACCACTTTCTTCGTTATGGAAATTTTTTGTTTTAGTTTCTGGCTTCGTTGGCATCAATAAATGCACTACCGTTGCGGCTCGATCTTATCATTTTCAAACAGCGCTTTCAAGAAATTTTGAACGATTTAAAACCAGTGAGTGAATCTTAGCATTGTCAAAAATCAAATTATTTCTAACTAAGAATAAGGCAAGCCCGGTATGAAACCGGTGGTAAGAGCGCTTCGTAATGATGACTGAGCTGCGGGACGACCTGAAAGTGGAAAGGAAAGCTAGAGAAATCTTTGGGATCGCTGAAATTAAGGCCTTAACCTTCAAAAAGGTCGGATGTGGAACGATGGCGAGGCAGGGCGGTCAAAGAAGACAAAACGCGAGAGATCACGCCGTTTGAGAGAGCACGCCGATATCGAGGTGGGTGGGA